TACAGTAGTAGAAATCTAACCCGAACCAGTCCTCGAATCGACCCATCCATGACCGAGAGAGCGTGGTCCATCTCACACCTAATCCATTCGCACTCTGCTAACACCACTAGACGAGATCGAAAGGACCTCCCACGCCTCCTAAAACCACTAGTCGACGGAGAACAGAGCGAGAGAGAAACAGCCCTCCCCTCGACCGCTACGACAAGGGGTGCCGCAGTAATCAGGGACCCACCCCACCTGGCAACACACGCGCCACCCAGCACCACCTCAAACAGCCCACGACAAAAGGCGCGACCTCGCCAGAAAAGGAGAAGCGCCGCCAGAAACGACCAAATCCGGCAATCCCAAACAGAGGGAAGAAAGACGGGACTTACCATCAGAGTCGCAGCTCCTCCAGTGAATGGAACGAGGTTCCGATCTCCGGCCTTGCAACGAAATCGATGAAGCGCCACCCCTGTCGTCGACTCCATCTGAAACCACGGAGTAATAATTATACTATTTTATTATATCATATAATAGTTATTATTAAAGTTAATAACTATAGTTTACATTAAATGATATATTAAAGTTACATAAACATAAAAAATTATTGTAAACTTTTTGCTAAAGTTATTTATTCTAAAATTAATATTATATTTTTTATCTTATTTTAATGTTATACTAAAATTCCTTAAAATCGCATAATCAAATGTTATAATAAATTTAGTATTTTTAAGCTAATAAATTGGCGATCTCTCAAAATTACATTATTTATTATACTTTATGTAATTAATATAGTGGTTCATATGCAATCAAATAGTTATGTACTATTTATTTTAACCAATGATCAAATTTTAACACATAATATCATTATGCAATTTATATTTTTATTATTATATGCATAAATATAACTTATAATACTCTATGTTTAAAATATAATATCATTGTATAACTTATAATTTTAATACTATATGCATAAATGTACATAAATATAATATTCTATTTACACTGTGCAAATGCACAAGATCGAATACTAGTTATATACTAAAGGCCGAGTTAAGACTTCAATTTGGGCCTGATTTCTTGATGACAAAGGGCCAAAACTAAGAGCATAAATGGCCGGCTAAAAGGCTCGAGACTTTAGAGAAAATGTCTAGTAAAACGGCTCGAAAAAATAAAATTAACCGGACGAAATTGAATGGCTAACGAATTATTTATTTAACAGATTAAATAGACGAGGTTGTCTAATAATCTCGAAGGACTTAGTTGAGTTCAGAAATTTAATGCAATAAAATGCATACATTAAAGAAAATGAGATGCCATTCTAATTAAACGATTTGGGGCACCACAGGCATGCCCAAGACGAAGATGCCACTTGAAGGTGGACTTATTATTGGTGAAAACAACAGAAAAAGAGTAAGAGTGAGGGGCATGAAGTGACTTAAGATCAAATAACTGGCCCGACTTACGACCCGTCCCGAGAAGTTGTCCTCTATGTGAATCCTTAACCTAAACACCAGAAGATGAAAATGAAATATTAAGACATTGTTCAACCAATTGACCAATAGATATAAGATTCAGGGCCAAGTTAGGAATTCAATATATGTCGGGAAGATGCAAAGAAGGGGAAGAAACCAGACCACACTACAAGAATAATCATTTTTAGTGACGATAATTTTTGTCGTTATGTCGTCACAAAAAATACCGTCACAATAAGAGGTATTATTGTGACGACATTCGAACATATAGCAACAATATTAGGACATTATTAGCGACGGTATTTTTTCTGACGACATAGCGACAAAAATTATCGTCACTAAAAATGATTATTCTTGTAGTGCCAGTATGAGTAATATTCATATGAGTGCAATTGGCAGTAAGTATAAGAGGTAAAGAAGTTACAGAAGATGAGGAAGACAAAAACCGTGGACTAGAGGTCATGTGATTGCAATAGCCAGAATCAAAATACCAATGAGGTCTACCTGCAGTGGCAGATTTTAGCAGAATTGAAATGGATAACTTGTTTGAGAATGACTTCTATGCCTTGAAGAGTGTAAGACAAGCGCTGAGGCTCATTAGTGACAGCCGCTGGGACAAGGGAAGTGGCAATTGAAAAAGACCCACGAGAACCTCGATATCGGGAAGATGAACCTCTCGAACTTTGTGATTTGACTGGACAGTTTGGAGCAATATGGCCCCGAGCATGGCATATGTGACACTCCACTTTAGGACATGTGGCATAAGTCTGCCCAGAGTTCTTACGAATCCTACATTGTTTAGAGATTCTCGGTTGAGACGGATGTGATGGAGAGGAAGCAGAAGCAGGCCGAACTAATGCAGACTTAAAGTTGTGGTGTCTTGTCCAACTGAAGGCCAGTCTCTTCAAAAGTGATATTGAATACCAGGATCAAGAGTAGGCAGAGGATGGCGATGTAATAGATAACACGAATAACGTCATAGTCAGGACAAATAGCCATCAAAATCTGAATAAGATCAAGATAGTTAGGACTAATCTCAGACTGTCAGAAACGTTGTACTTGTGCAAGAAACTCATTGATCGATTGACCCGATTGCTTCTTAGTGCAATTTAGGTGCTCCAAAGCTGATAATAGTGAGCCAGGCCCGTAGTCTAAAACCGAGCAACCAAAAAGTCCAAAGCTATCAAACGAGGCAAGCTGCACCTGAATAGTAGGGACTGAAGTATTACGTAACCATGTAAGAATTTGATGGTTCATACTATCACAATCCTCCAACTTATCGACGTATGTGGTAAGAGCCTATGGGGTGGGGTAAGTATCCCTAGTGCGAGACAGATTCAAACGTGGCAATACACCACCAGTCACAATTCTCCACAATTTTCTTCCAATTAAAAAACTTTTCATAGACTGTGCCCAAAGGCTATAATTATCTCCTGATAAGACAACACTAATAGGAGAATGCGTATCTATAAGATCTATATCCAAAAAACAGATAATCACCAACAATATCACGAAGCAGATTAAAGAAAATTACGAATCAGACCACAGATCAGACAAGATATCAGTACGGGCAGAAAGTAAAATGTTCACGAATATCAAATCTGATCACACCACAAGGTAGCCAAGGGTGACAGGAGTTGGCGGCTGAAAGGCGACGACCAACGGCATCGGAGGTGAGCTTAACGCGCCGGCCGAAGCTTTTGGGGTTGGGACAGAGACGAGGCGCGTGTGGGCCACATGCGCCAGCGATGGATATGAATCTTCTGATGAAGGCCCACCTCGAAAAGCCGAAGAAGATGATGTGGGTGGTGAGAGTCGATGGTGGCTGAAGACGAGCAACGAAAGACCAAGTCTATGTTTGATCCTAACTCTAGTCTGGTACCATGTAAGAATGTGAGAAAATTATATCTTGTATTAGCACAAAGTATGTCACGTATATAAAGACGTAAGATGGGCATCCCTTATGTTAGACCTTAATCTAACCATACAATACAAAATACAACTTCATAACTAACATACACCACTATCATCTTCATGTTCTTTTGGCTTTTGGATGCTTGTGCATTAATGGTTACCTTGTTATTTTCATCTTAGCAAACTCAAGTTGCTATCCATTATACCACCTTGAGTTTGATAGGAGCGTTAGTTGTAATATTGTAGAGTAGTATTGTTGTATTATAGACTAGATTAGTACGACAAGATTAAGGTCCATCTTATATCTTTATATAAGTGTAGATCATTGTGAAATATAGAACATAATTTCTCCAGGTTAGTATCCATCACTATAAAAAAATGTTATATTCCAACGGAAAATCCTACGGTAATATATTCCAATGGAAATTCCAACGGATATTTCAATGGTATAACTTCCGTTGGAATAATTCCAACAGAAATTCCAACGGAAATATTCCGTTGGAATATATTTTTCATTGGAATTTTAGATGCTATTTGACGATTCCAACGGCTATATTTCCAACAGTTTTTTACTGTAGGAATTTCCGTTGGAATATGCAATTTCCATTAGAATTTTTATTTCCACCCCCGTTGGAAAATCTACCGTTGAAATCGTCAAAATTCAACAGAAATTCTAATGGAATTAAATTCATTCCAACGGAATATTTTTGTAGGAATTTCTGTTGGAATCCATTAAAAAATTTCAACGGGAATAATAACATTAAAATATCCATTGGAAAATTGCCGTTGGAATAATTCTATTGAAATATATTTCTGTTGAAATTTCATCATTTTCTTGTAGTGCATGTCTTATATCCACTGATTTGTGCGGTCAATATTTCATGTGTATTTTACCCCGAGCTTTTGGGAGCCTTTGGTTGGTTATTCTATGGATCATTTTCTTATGTGGTGGGTTTTCACATAAATTTTTTTTTTCTTTTTTTTTGGTACATTCACATTAAATATTTGAATTTGATATTACCCACTTGTATACCTAACATCCTTCGACATAGCTTAAACATCAAACTAATTGTAACAGATATAGCACGAGTTTGTTGCTACGTCAATTGTGTTCATTTATCTTCTCTTTAAAGAATTTGCATTGAAGAAACCTACGTGACATGGAACGTCAGCAAGTAAACGTGTCTGGAAGTTCATCATTGAAGACTAATCTAACACGAGTCCACGATACATAAAATTGGTGTTAATCAATTTGGACAAAGTTAATTTGTCTCTTCTTAATTTGATTGGTCAAAATTGATAGGTCACGCTCTGGTGAGAATAATACTCAATGAAAGAAAAGAGAATAAATCTTGGTTATTGAATCGGGATGATCTAACCGCTCAAAAAAATGCCAAATTGTACAGTTATTAAGGGTAGGTTAGTAATTATACCATTACAATCAACTAATCAATAGTGGGCCCCACCAAACCTCACTCCACACTCCCCATCTCTCACACACAGTTTTTCACGAACACACACACACACGGACGCGCAACACACACAGAAAGAGAAATCGCCAGTGTCTGTCCGTCGCTGCCTGCCGACTGATCCACCACCGTCCCGTCGCCGGCAGTCTGGTTTCCTCCGTTAGTCAGAGCGTTGTTCGTACTTCTCCGCGCGGTCAGCGGCGTCGTCATCGTCGAGATCCGGCAGCCATGGACCGACGAGATCTACCATCAGCTTCAGCTCGCCACCTCATAGAACCGTCTCCACCACCGCCTGGCAGACGTGCCGATTCCCGTTCCTGACGACGCCGACGGCGACGCTCACCAGGTCAACACTCTTCCCGGAAGTTTCGAATAGCAACGAGAATAATATCGTCTATTTCGGTGACACCAACCGGTATCGCTGCTACCCACAGTGTCGATTAACGGCAGTTTACGGCTCTCAGGCCTTAATATCGCCGCCTGAATGTTTGATTGAATTTTAGATTTTGGGGCATTGTTTTGAGAATTTGATACTTTACATGGTTTTAAATGCAATTTTATAAATTATAAAATATTTCAATTTAGACATTGGGTCAAATTTGTAATTTTATAGAAGTTCAATAATGCACAAAAAACTATTAGGTATAATGTGAATTATAACATGTAGGCTTGCACAACAAAAAATACACATTATTAATGTTTTTAAATTGAAAATGCACATAAAAAATACTTGATTGACAGTTTGCACGATACTGGTAGACGGAATGCACATTATTGTTTGTGTGAATGCATATTATTGAGTGCAAATTATTGAAGTTGAATATATTTCAATTTGGTACATGTGCTAGATGTGTAATTTACAGAAAGTTTAATAAATATGTAATAAACTTGCAAATTCAAATTAAGGAATTAAGTTTTCATTGAATTAAAAAAATAAAGTAAAATAGATAGTGTTGAGGAACAATTTTAAAAATTTATTAATTTTGAGTATTTTAATTTATTACATAACCAAATATGTAATTTATAGCAATATTTACATAAATGCATATTAATGATAAATAAAGGGTACAATGTTTAAAAATTTAATATGTAAACTTTTAATATATAAAAAAATGTTATAATAACAAATATATATGTATAATAATAAACAATAAACTATTTCAATGATTTAAGTTAATTCGATATATAATCATATCTACTAGGTATAGTTTTCAAAAAACACATAATTTATATATGATCATATAAAGCAGTGCACTTTATATATCAAAACTTTATATAGCAGCACGTTGCACTTTATAAAACAAAAGGTTGCACCTTATAACACAACAAGTTGCATTTTATCAATACACTCCACATTTAATGTCAACAGCTCCCGCGAAATACCACAACAACATAAATATAAGAAACGAATATACATAATACTTTAACATTAATAGCATCATTTATCCACACAAAAATCAAGCATGCTAGCGTGCCAAAATTACATCAGTTCACTTTATACATCAACCAGTTGCACTTTATAAGATAACAAGTTGCACTTTACAACACAGCATGCTGCACTTTATCAGAGATCAAAACTGACCGAACTTAAAGTTTTTCAACCAAAAATTATATGAAAATAATAAATAAAATTACTAACGTTTTCAATAGTATTTTCTTATAACATAAAGTATAATTTAATTTAGACATTTTTTGTCAATTCGACTAACTGCCCGAATAACTAAAGTACTTCTATTCGATTTAACTTTTCTAAAAGTTCGACTCAATTATTTCTATTTTAACATTTTGGTCAATCGGTTCAACCGAACCAACGAATGAAAATTATTTTGCATTCTGCAGCTCGTTGATATTTTGTTATTTTTTTTTTATTTTTAATGTACATACAGACACACACTATTATGCAAATTAATTATCATTTTGTTGTGCAATGCATTGAGCAATAATGTGCTATGTGTTGAATGGTAAGGTGCAACCAAGTGAACCGTAATGTGCAATTATCAAATTTTTTAAGTATGAAGAATTTTTAGCAAATTACATATTTAACCTAAAAACTAAATTGAACAAAATTGAAATAAATTAAAGTTCTTGAAATTAGACTTATCAAATTTTTGAAACATGCCCCTCCTTTTTTAAACTAATATCCTCTCATAGCACCTCTGCACATTGCCGGCGACCTCATTTGTCCATCTCACAGACCTCTCCGGTGACTGACATCCTCGATATGACACTATTCTCGCCGGATCTGGTCGCACATGAACGGCAGTCATTTTTATTTTTATTTTTGTTTTTTTGGAATTTTTGGTGGCATCTACCCTGATTTCCGGCGTACTCGGCCACAACTGCATTGTCGCAGACATGGCTGAAAGACGTGGTCAAGTCGCCCGGCGGGAGATGCGACGGCGATAATTGGTTGCGTTCCGCAGAGACACTGTGCGACTAAACAACAGCCGCTCTTGTCGGCGTGAAGCTGTAGAAGGATGCTGACGGCGGTCGTTTCTGGAAGCCCGTCATTCTTGCGTGTGTCCGGCAGAGGCAACGGGCTGTGACTGACCGGCGTAAAAATTGGGGCGAAGGCTGACGGTGAAGGCTGACGGCTTAGGCGCGGCGGCGATAGGCGTACTGGTGGCTGGCGGCGGGTGGTGGTCCGACGGCGACGGCAGACGTGTTGTGTGTGTGTTTGTGTGTGTGTGTGTGTGTGTGTGTGTGTGCATATCTGGAGTGGAATCGATGGGGAAGGAGGGTGATGAAAGAAAATAAATATTCAATTAGTGAGTGTGTCCCACGTAATAAATGTGTATTGACCAACTTACCCTTAATTATGGTCAAATGCACATATTTGACCACACTATGATCAAATAATTACCAGATTGCCATTAATGATTGACCATAGCTTGACTTCATCGTATCCATTGATATGGTTGATCGTATGATCAAATGTACATATTTGACCACACTTTGATGCTATTTTTAATAGCTTATGATGCTATTTTTGATATTACATGGTACTATCATTTTCGTAAATGCTAAATATTAATTGTGTTGTTATTTTTAATAAAATACATCCTGGTTAAAAATAGCACTAAAACACAATCAATCGTAGCACTACATACAATTAAAAATAGCGGTTCTCATGCTAAGACTTGGTTCTCATTTGAACAACATCCTATATATATATATATATATATATATATATATATATATGATGTTGTTCAAATGAGAACCAAGTCTTAGCNCTGATATATATATATATATATATATATATATATATATGTATATATGATATATAGTTTTGCTATGAAGTTAATAGTTGGGATTATAGTAGAGCCAACCTTCTATATACTTGTTGTATATAGAAGGTTGGCTCCACTGTGGAGCCTAACTGTTGACTTAATAGCAAAACTGATATTATATATTTATATATATACTTTTCTGTAAAATGTATGTACTTTCAAAAGAGCTGCGGATTTGCTTTTGGTAGGTGTAGAATTTTTTTTGGAAAAAGTATGTTAACGTAATGAATGCAGATTGTACAAGGCCTACTATGTAACAATAATTGTTTCTAGCTAGAGGTGGCCATGGGCCAAATCAACACAACGAACTAATGGCATGATTGGTAGATGGGAATACACTACGAATGGAATGACCATTCCTTATTTGATTCTCATTCTTATACTTGGTATATTTTATTGTTAAGGAATGACCATTACCATGGAAACACTATTCCCATTATTATGGGATTATTCATTCCTTCCATAACCCATGGTTTTAACCATTCCAAATCTATTGGGAATGAATATATTATATTTTGTACGCTCATCGTTTCATCTTCTCAACTCAAAGTCGACACATCTGAAAAAAGAAAATCCATCACCGCCGACCTTCATCACGACCCCAGGTACAATCTTAAATACTCTGTTCATTTTTCATTCGATTTTTTTAGCATGAACTATCTGTATATTTCTGATAAAAGTTTGATTTATTTATTTATTAGCTTTTGAATTTGACTGTTATGGGGCATATGCTTGGTCTAAATAGACAATAATCTTATTTTTTTTCATCACATGTTCTGTGCTTTTATTTGTTTCTTTAGATTACTGAATCTTTGTGGACGGATTATATTTTTTCTTAATATGAGAAATCACTATCTTTTTTATTGAATGGGTAAGTGATAATCTTTTTATTGTTCATTACTGAATGTGCAATTTCATTATTTAATTCCAAGTCTTATGTGATACTGGATGTGCAATTTCTCTCTAATTCCAATTCTTATGTGATATATATAGTGATATATATATATATATATATATATATATATGTGAACTTGGGTTGAGCTATATTTTTTTTTTCTTTTTGCAATTTCATTCTTTGCTTTGTTCAACATCATAATGTGCAGATGAACCCAACCAGTTGGGCTAATAAGTATTTTTCAATTATATTTGCAGTGATGGCAAGAGTAGGATTAACAAGAAAACTGATAAGGAGAAAAAAATGTGTAGCAAGTTTGTCATTTTGGACGACCATAATGCAACTAATAAATTATTTTTGGCTTATAGTTCTCGATCGGGTATAACATTATTACAAACATGTTATTTTGAAACCCGTTTATCATTATGGTTTTTATGAAAGGAGAAAATACATTCAAAAAATAATATATACAAGTGATAGTGTGTGCAAGAATGTAACAAGGATGAATAGACAAAATTTTCATCGTTTATGTTCCAGACTTGAAGCAACTAGAATGGTATTTTTAACAAAAAATATGTTAGTCGATGAACAAGTTGCTATCACATTACATATTATGGCACATCACCAAAAACAGAGGGTTATAAATGCAAACTTTGAGCGTTTTGGGGAGACAATAAGTAGGCACTTTCGAAAAGTGATAAATGCTATTATAAGAATTCAAGAAGAACTACTTAAGAAACCTGAGGCTGTTCCAGATGATTCTACTGATGAAAAATGGAAATGGTTTAAGGTATGTTATTTAGTCTACAGATAAAAATATAATAATGTAAATCATCGTGTTTATTCTAGCTTTATTATAATAGGGGTGTTTAGGTGCTCTAGATGGCACTCATATCAAGGTTCGAGTGCCTGCACAAGACAAACCTAGATACCGCACGCGTAAAATGAAATTGCTACAAATGTATTTGGGGTATGCTCCCAAGATATGCAATTCATCTACGTGTTACCCGGGTGGGAAGGTTCAGCAGCCGATGGTAGAGTGTTACGAGATGCAATAACTCGGAGAAATGGTTTGGTGGTTCCTCGTGGTAAGATGCATAATCCAGTTCAATTAAGAAAAAAAAAAACTACCCTTTAAAAAAAAAAGATAAAAATGAATAATTTATACTAATGATTAATATAACTTCAAGGTACGTATTATCTTGTGGATGCTGGGTATACAAATGGTGAAGGATTTCTTGCACCATTTCGAGGCCAAAGATATCATTTGAATGATTGGAGAGATAGACACATGCCTACCACCGCTGAAGAATTTTTCAATATAAGCATTCTTCTGCTAGAAACACAATAGAGAGAGTTTTTGGCTTGATAAAGACTCGATGGGGAATCTTGAGAAGTTCATCATACTATCCTATAAAAATACAAAATCGCATCATCATGGCTTGCTGTTTACTTCATAATTTCATTATGCAAGAAATGGGTGCTTACGACGATGAGGAAGATATAGAAAATCAACAAGAGAATAATGACATACATGAGGATGAAGACCTTGTTACTACGGTTGAACCTTCTACCCAGTGGACTAGTTTTAGAAGAAACCTTGCTGTTAGTATGTTTAACACATGGATAGCGCATAGAAACTCTACATAGTTTATTTTTTCATATTGAGAGTAGAAACATTGTTGTTATTACGTTCACCGTGTGTGGTATATTTTTTGGCGGTTACATCTTTTGTGTTAAATTTGTGGATTCTTTTTTGTTAATTTATGTGATGGATTACATGTTAAGTCATGCGATAAATATTTTTTTTATTATAATCTTAATTTATTGTCAATTTGTATTTGCCTTATAAAGCATGGATCATCAACCTCAAGAAACAAGAGGTCGTGGGAAGAACAAAAGAAAATGGAATAATGAGGAGGATGCTAAGCTTGTGGAGGCACTCCTTGAGATGGTAAATCTTGGAACATATAAGGCTGAAAATGAGTTCAAACCTGGCTACTTGAACTATGTCGAGGACAAGTTGCGAGTCTCATTGCCTAGCTCTGGATTCAAGGCTAAACCACATATTGAGTCAAGAATTAAGACATTGAAGAGAGACTTCAATATTGTGTATGATATGTTAAATGGTCCAAATACAAGTGGATTTGGTATGGATCCTATAAGAAAATGCATCGTAGCCGAAAAGTCCGTATGGGGTCCCTACATTGAGGTATTTACATAACTCCAAGCCCTTATTTTAGTTTAAAGATTTGGCCATTTAGTTAATGAACAATTTTGCATATTCAGTGTCAAACTAATTGCCTCGCTAGTCTCTGCTTTTTTTTTCAGTTAGTTTGCCTACCATCATCAAATCAAAGATTTGAAATAAATAACTAACTTAGCTTATTGGATTAGTTAATGATTGATAACTTATTTAATTGAGCATTCTGTTAGTTGACAAAAAATTATGGTTTATTACTGAGGTGGATATCATCTTGTATGAATTGTAGCCATGATGGTTTTTTGTAGACAAATTGGTAAAATAATTATTTAAGTAAAACACGTCATTAAAAGTAAAGATAAAATATGACCAATAAAAGTATGTACAAAGAATATCTTTGGCATAAAATGGCAACAAACTAGTAATTAAAATGTTTTCATCCTATGACCAATCGACCAGGTAAGAAACTTTTGTTTATAGGGTAGCAACTCCATTGATCCACTAGTCTCGTAAATACTCATCAGTTGTAGAAGGTGCTTAGGTGCACCACATGCTCTACAAGAAAATATCTGTTAGCCCACAACATCTTTTGACAAACAGGAATTCCAATAAATGTGATTATTTACATATCTTGTTAATTTTCTCAATTAGTTATTATTTTTTCTTGTGACACAGAGTCATCCTACCCATGCAATCTGGCGAAATAAGGCTTTCCCCTTATATGATGACTTGGTCATTATTTTTGGAGAAGATCGTGCTACTGGAGGAAATGCCGAAGGTCCTAATGATATGATGGAAGATATACAAAGGGAAGATGTCAATCTTAATGCTGATAATGACGTCGAAGCAACATCCGAAATTGGTCTTGATGATTTAGATGCTTCATTTTCTCCATTACAGTCCCCAAGATCTGCAGCAGTTGACAAGAGGAAGAAAAGAAAAAGAAGTGTTGATAACTTAACGGCTATGACAGACATAAAAGAGGCAGCTTCGATTATTGGAAGTGAAATTGCTAAAGCTAGTGAAATTTTTGGTAAAGCTATTGGAGTTGATGCTGAAATTTCAGAAAAGAGACAAAGGATTGATTCAGAGATAAGGAAGATTCCCAATCTAGCTGTGGTGGATGTTATTAAAGTTGTGTGTCGTATCGCTCAATCGCCCGAGTTAACCGACGTATTTTTAAGCATGACTGAAGAAGGAAGAGAGCAGTTGGTTATGGCCATCATAAGTGGCCAAGTTTAAAAATCGTCTATTTTTTTTATCTTCAAATTTATAATATCGTCACTACTTATTTTATCAAGTTCAAGTTTCTATTGAAAGATACAGTCGTACATTTGTTTTTATTTTAGTTGAGATTATTTTATAAGTTTGATTGTTTTAATAGTCATTTTGTTAGTAATGCATAACGAAAAAAAANATCAAACAAATGTGCGGTGTGTTTGTAAAGTATTTTTGTGTTTGTTATGTTTTGTTGTTAGATTAGCAGATGTCAATATGCACAGGAGCCTTCAGCTTAAAAGCAGGACTTGTATATAGAGTTTGGTGTATGCTTGGTTGTTTGATGTCTCATACAAGTGAACAAATTGCATTGGTCTTAATATCATTAAAAAGATAACTAATACTCTTTATTAAAATAAATAATTGTTATAGTTAATACTTGAAAAATTTTAATATTAATAAGTGGATCTTGAAACTAATTTGTAGACACAGACAAAGAATTTTTTTCCTATATATATTTACATTCCAACAGCTGATTTTTAATTACCAATCATGGGAATGATATCAAGTGAGGAATAAATGTTTCAATCCTTGCCAATACCAATCATAGGTATGGGAATGATTATGACATTCCATTCCAGTTTTCATTCCTTTCCATAGCTGATTCCATTCCCTCTTAATTCCATTCCCGTATACCAATCATGCCGTAAGGGGTTGCAGCAGTAGTGATAGAACTTAGCTAACAACGCTTATAATATATATGAAAGCTCAAGCCCTCATTTTTCTGGTCTTAAGCATGCTCAAAATTACTACCTACTTGTGAAGATTCTTCTTCTTTTCAAGGACGCAATTCTTACCTGAATTAATTTTCACTAAAAATTGAAGGGGGTGAATTCAATTCAAACTTTTAAAGTGAGCGACTCTCGTGGACTTTGTGGAATTTTGTTGATTTTTGTGATTTTTTTTAGATTTTTTTAAAGAATTATTATCAGAGACTTTTTAAAACTTTCATGTATTTTTTGAAACTTATTGAGAATTTTATGTACTTCTAGTATAAGTATTACGTTTGCATGAAATGTTCGTGAACCTTGGATCATAATTAATATCAATAAAAAAACCTAGTTTTTTTGTTTCAAAAAAATACTAAAGTGAAATGAGTATTGATAATAAACGCCAACAATTTAACAAAGAAAAAAAATGAAATTTTGCAGCATTATAGTTGTATGAGTAAAAGATGAATAAATCATCCTCTAATAAATTTCGAATCAACCATAAAATTATTATTCGACCTGAGTTATTTGCGAACACAACTCGATTATACTCGTGAAAGTTCAAGCTCGGCTCATTTATATTCTTAAATGGATCGAGTTTGAACAATTAATCGGACTTAATTATTAAATTAATCAAAGTGAGTTTGTTCACGACCTACGCATTTTTTAATTTTTAAAAAGTTAAATTTAGAAGAAAACAAATGTGAGGATAAAAGTAAACATATAATAAAATAACAGTGATAAATAATATAACTACAAGAAAAGATTTATGCATGAAAGTAATATGAGATTTATAGTTAGGTACATTAAACCCTATAGGGAAAAAAAAAGTTGAAGCTGCAAAATTTTACCAATTTGATGAGACTTTCACTAGGACTTTGCCTTTGTAATTTTACTAAAAATGCTTCCAAAAGTCTATCAATTTAAAAAGTCTTCATATTTTGAATAATGAGTGAGTTATAGATAGTCTTATAGAACGTATCGATTGAATAACTTTAATACTTTTAGAGAGTACGTGGATACAAGTTATCGAATCACTTTTGACCAATCTCTCTCTCTCTTTTTTTTTTCTTAAACTAAAACTCTAACACAAATTTAAATTAAACTAACTCTTCTCAATATTATAAATATAGTTAAATAGTATCATCAAATCATTCTAACACATCACATCAACTTTAATTCACTATTATTCAACTCACATAATTTTAACTACCTATGACTTCCAATCACATCTCGTCTACTTTTACATAAAACAAACTTTAATTATTTTGTTTTAAAATAATATTTTAATATAAACTCAAAACTAACTCAATCAACTTTTTCAAAATAATTAACTCCTGTTAACTAACAAATTCACTTAAAACAAAAATAACTTATATCCAACCACACCCTTGAAGATTTATAAAAAAAAGAAATTTTAAGTATGAATTGAATACCAATAGATTTTTTAGAAGTTTAAAAAAATTTCAGTTGAATACTCCATAATTTTAAAAATTCTCAAAAAAATATTAAAAAGTTGCAATTGAATATACACCCTCATCATGTAGGAGATAAGGCTTAACAAATCACCGGCGATTTTTTTCCCCCTTTTGCGAAAACCCTTGTTCTTCGGCATCCCATACAATTTCCGTCTGTTTGCCTTCCTCGGCGTCGGAATAGGCTCGTCTAGGGGTAGTTCTTGACTGCCCTCCCCCCCTTGATGATGCGCGATCCTGAAGATCCGTGGATGGCCGAGATTGGAGATCTGGCTCTCGGTTGCGGACGGGGAGTCAATCGGTGGTGGTGTCCCTTCCGGGCGGCGATTGGCTTGCTTTTGGGGTTCTCTCCTCTGTCGCAGGTGTTGCTCCGACCGGTGGCGGTAAGCCCCTTGCTTTTCTCCTGTCTGCGATTGATGGGTTTGCTTTTTCCGGCGAGGCTCCGCCTCTTTGGAGGAGTTTGGGTCTCTGGTGGTCGGAAGTCCGCGGAGGTGTTGGGATGGGCAAGCGTCTTTGGGTGGGGCGGGACCCCGGCGACTACGGTGTGCCTGCTGCGGGGGTTGGGGTTGAGGGTTCGATTTTCGCTCACCCTCCCCTGTCCGGCTAGTGGTGTTAGGCGGCGGGGGATCAGGTTCTATCGGCCTTGTCTAGTGGTGTTAGACGAGTCTAGGTGGGGCCGGTGTGGGGGTTGATTGTGGCTCTCTCGGTCAATGATGGATCGACTTCGGGGATGGGTTCGGGGTTCAGTTTCTCCTACTGTATAGGCCTTCTGCAGTTTCGGTAGCGATTTCTGGGCCTGGAATCTTTCTCGTGTCGATCATTTACTGCTGGTTGGACTATTTCGTTCGTTGGGGAAGGGCTCCGTTCGTTTTGTTCATTTATAGTTTGTAGTTGCTTTGCTCTTTTTGTTGTGTTCTCGTTAGGTGTTTTCAGTTTGGGCCGTTGGCCCCTGTATCGTGTTCGGGCCTTCTTCTGTGGGGAGCGTTCCATATTCTCCCGTGGGGAGCGTTCCATATTCTCCCGTGGGGAGCGTACCATATTCTCCCGTGGGGAGCTTAGTGTTTTCTTTGTTTGTGTTGTAGTGTTGGTCGTTTTTTAGTCTTGTTTTTAGTTTCTAGCTTGGCTAGCTGCGGTTCTAGGCGGTCTCTGACCTGTCCTTCCACTTTTTCAGCCATTGGCTGTATTATTCAGCCTTGGATTGTACTTTGCACATTTGTGCGTTTTGAATTATAATATTTCTATCGTTCCGTAAAAACAAAGTAATACCAAATCCACCCCGATTATTACCATATTTAAACTGTGGAACCACACATTTAAAATTCATTTTTCAGGAAAAAAAGGCGTTTAGAATTTGAATTTTAAAGTGTATAGCCCATAGATCATGTGAAGCAGCTACGACCATTAAAAACCTATAACGTACTATAGATCACAACAGTTAAGAGGAGTTTGTTGCAACTGCATTCTGTTGCATTTAGTATGAGGAAATGATGATGAAATTGGACATTTATGAAGGCGTGGAAGCGAAAGGATTAATTGCACTTTGTAATTAGGCTAAACTAAACCTCATTGGCCTTTATGTAATTATATATTCCCAACCAAAACCAAAATTACGGGCAACCTTACATCACACATACATATCCACATGGGTTTTTGTTGATCCATCGATGAAAAGCTCGCATGCAGTAAAATCCACTTGGAAACTACACTTTTTATGTACGTGACTTGCAAAAGCACTAAGAAAAATATATAGTTAAGCAACATCAAGATTTTTAGTACATAGTTAGTAATATTTTTTTGCATGCTAGCTTTTTCACTTGTTGAGTGATACTCTCCTTGTTCTATCAGGCATGAAATCAAGCAAAACAGTGCTCTTGCATTTGGGGCACTTTGGATCTTCCTCCAACAGCATCACATACATAAGGCATCTCGGGCAGCCCACCAGCATCATGGACCCAGTAACTGGGCTTTCCTCACATGAGCTTCTTGGAGATATTTGGGCCGGCCCATTTGGTGACAAGGCTAGTCGATGGTCTCTTGGAGGAGACAATTTGAGTTTCAGCTCCAGTTTTGGGCTCTCATAGCTGTAGTTCATTTTCTTTCCCCTTTCCTATTTGGTTTGATATTATGCTGCACTCCCTGTTGTAATTAGAAGAAAATTAATTCTATAATCAGAAACACGAAGTAATCACTGTAACAGTTAAATTAATCAAGAGTCTAAGCTTGCGATTACCTTTCAAGACTTGCTATCTTTTAAATTTGCATGGAATAATGAACTTTGGGATTTTATGAGGTAATCGAGATTTTGAGACAATTCTTCTTCTTTTTTTTTTCTTGTTTGCTTTTGGTTGAGTGTTTTTCATTTTGTGGCTTGAAGGGGTATTTATACATGGAGCAAAAATTGGGGGACATGAAGGGACAGGACTGTATTTAATTCCAGAATTGATTATGGATACAAATGGAGTAAATTTATATAGTAGTTGAATAGGTTCGATAAATAGAGAGGGCCAGATAGCAATAAAACAAAAGTAAAAAAAATTGTATTTAATTAAAGAGGAGGGGTGTGGTAGAAGACAAGTGTTAAGTACTGAATCTATCGGAAGGGAAAATTGTATTGATTGTGAGTGGAAAGTTCACAAGAAGTTTGCTAGCAGAATGAAATTTCAATTTAATATTAGCAACCACTAAAGTTGTTAAATGGATACATTCATTGCTGACATTGTTGGTGAACATATTGCATATGCAAGCGAAAAATATAGAGCAATTAAAATCTCATTAATATCCTAACTGCCATCGGATTGAGGTATTAAAAGCAAGGGCAACTTTCAAGCGATGAAGTATTGTATGAGGTAAAACTGGACATACAAATTTTTAATAAAAATATGTATTTATAT